ATAGTCGACGACCTCTATTGGGTAAGCGATATGAGCAAGCATTGTATATTGTATGTGCGGCGGACTTCTTGCGCTTAGATTGTCGAGGACCTCTATTGGGTAAGCGATATGAGCAACTATTGTATATTGTATGTGCGGTGTACTTGTTGCGCTTAGAGACCCGAACCCGCTTAGAGGTATGTTAGATACCTATAAAGAATACGGAGCAGCTGGTGACCCATTTGTGCACCGAAATCTCCTTACATCACGTCAATAAAAAAAAAAGCGTTCGCCTTGCAATAAAGTTAGCTGCACAAGAGCCGTGTTAGGGCCTCAGGTGAGCAAATTACGGCGTACTAAACGGAAAAAACGAAACGCGTTTCTGTTTATCTGGAGGACCCCGTACCTAAAATTATCTCTTTATTAATGTGCTAGCTACTATTGTCACACGTTAAAAGTAGAGAAAAAGGGTGAATACAACAAGAAGACGTAAAATATATCTAGATTCCGTCACGATTTGCTACCTTTCACAGACGAATAAGATGTAGGCACCAAAGGAGAGGAGGAGAGAAAGAAAAATAGAGTAGTAGCTTTGCCCGCACTCACACGTTGTGAAAAAAGTCCAAGAATGGTTGCTGAAAGCCGTAGTAATGATGTGCTATAATCTATAGACATACTATAAAGATCGATTTACACTAGCATGATTGGCTACAGTATTACAGAATATAGACTATAGCACTATAGGCTATAGTAGTACTACAGGCTAAACGTGGCGGGAGAGATATGATCTCTTTATTCGATGCACTTTGTGCGCGTTGTCGCTTGGTGCGACAGTGACGCGCACTGCCATAGCTCTAAAATTCCAATTAAAAGATTGGCAATAAAATTAACGTCTCTTGAAGTTTAGCAGTACAATTTAAGGCCGAATAGCCACAGTTGTTTCTGATGATATATTGGTGCACATTACGCGTTAGTGCACTACCATCAAGAAAAATAATAGAGTACATTACTCTAAGCGTTTTAGCGGGCGCCTTAGGTGACTGAGTGTTGTATACTTGCACATATGATGATCAATGGTCACGTGTCAGTGCTTAGTGGAGCGCCATTTAGCGGATACCACTAGCGACCTGTCACAGCATTCCCATTGGTGGATCAATAGCCTCTTCCCTAACGCAATGTAGCTTAACCGCCGTCCACTATCTTAGCATGGAAATCATGCATTGATCCTCTACTACGATCTCCCTAGTTAGTCATCATTAGGATGTGCTATCGCATCGGTGCTGAAGACTTGTCCTTATTTGAGATCTTTCGAGCGGGTTCTTTCGCAGACTTTCAGAAACATCGAATGCGTGCTTAGAGAGTTCCGAATGGGACAAATGCTTCGTTTTCTTTCTCTTAACTGGGAGTAGGAGGGGAAGGAATATACGCAAAGACAAGACGGTTGTTGGAACAGCTGACTACAGTGGGCAGTGGGCAGGTGGCAAAAAGAAGAGCCGAGAATAGGGAAAAGTGCCGAAAAAACAGAAAAAAAGATAGAAAACGACACTCTTCAAAAACTTGGAATAGCTTGCCTCAAGCTCCTTACGCATTCTAAGCCGTATCTGTTGAAGTGCATATTGGTCATCGCGTGTTTTATCATGAGTATAAAGGTGGTGGCAAGCCTATCACAAATAATGAGCTGACCGGGCCAACAGATTGAGGAATGATAGATCTATGGGTGGATGAATATATGCAGAGACAGAGGGTGGGGGGAGGTGGAGTCGTTAAAAAACGCCAGGCCTGCGCGGAAGGCACAGCCCAGACACAGTGAAAGCTAAAAGGGCGGCCTTTCAAAAGCTTCTCAAAAGACTCATTGGGTAACTACTGCAAGCACACTTGCTTGATACCCACTATGGCATTAATAATAATTTTGTTTTTGGGGTAGTAGGCCAGCATTCGCTGTGTTATTTTTCGTCATTCTTCTGAGAAGCGTGATATCTGCTAAACACTTGCAATGAATTTTGTGCCAATTGTTCATGCAGTGGCGGACGACGATAAGAAAATATGGCTGAAAAAGGTATGCGCCACACCTAATAATAGAACAAGAAGAATCTTTTGCAATGTGTTGGAGCATTAGAAGGCCCTCGTTAAGCTATTCGCGTTGTACGACGACTGGTTGTTCTTTTGCTGCTTTAAAGCGCTTTATAAGTCGTATTAACGTGATTGCATGAAAAAATTGATATGTGGGGCTTAACGGGCCAAAACCACCATATGATTACGAAATACGCTGTAGTTGAGGGCTCCGGAAAGTTCGACCATCTGGGGTTCTTTAACGTACACACAAATCTGAGCACACGGGCCTACAACAGTTCCGCCTCCATCGGAAGTGCAGCCGCCACAGCCGGGATTCGATCCCGCGACCTGCGGGTCAGCAGCCGAGTACCTTGGCCACTAGACCAACGTGGCGGGGTCGTGATTGCATCGCCGACATAAAGCCTGCCTAAAGCAAGTTTGCCATCAAGTCACCAGCACCGGCGTAGCTCAGTGGTGGAATACTGGACTGGCACCCGGTGGACCCGGGCTTGAGCACCACTGTGCCATTGGTGCTAGGTTTTGTCGTAGTCTCGCGCGATGTGGTTATGGACACCAGCGGCAGCGGCGGACAGCTGCGCGTTAGCATAGCCGTGATCTCATAACAGCTTTCGCTATAATAGGACTGAAAACTGAAGAGGTTCATCTTGTAGTACGCTTTGAAAACGCCACTCTCTAGGAAAGTGGTGACAGATGACGGAAATACACGCCGTGCGTTGCAGTTTCAGAGGTCAGAAATAATGCTCTTGTGATCACTTGAATTACTATGTACACAATCGACAGTGTTAACACTGCTAAAAATAATCTACTGAAGCTAACATACTTGCTCGAGTAAATGATGAAATACGAGTCCGGTCGGCCTACGGCAATTTTTGCATGTAACCTTTATTAATTCGTATCTTATCATTATACGTATGTGGATGTATTTCTTTCTACATTAGAAAAATAAAACTAATATAAAAGAAGTTATAAGAATCTCGGGCTTCCTTTTTATGTCGCAGTGTACTATTGCATTTTTTTGTTGAACTATACCTGAAAAATAAGTATCTCTATAGCACCGATTGCAACGCTCTATATAAGGTGAACTGAGCCACATTACGTTCCGATCGATTCCCCTCAAGCTTACCTCTCACACTCCTACTCTAAGTGCACACAAACAATAGAAAATAAGGGCACACTTGAACGCTCCAAGAGCGTGAAAATATGAAAAATTAGGCAAAAGGGGGTTAAAAACAATCACGGCACTCTTACTATGGTCGAAGTGTTTTGAAAACTTTAAGTATTCAAACAATTGCCATCCCGCTTAGCATTTGCGCTTGGCTCACCCATATCGGCGTGCTTTGTTCAGATTAAGAGACTCGAAAGAACGTGAACGCCCAGTGAAGAAACGTCGTGGATCCCTGAGACGTACGTGCCCGAATCCCTTCTTCAAATATGGTTTTACCCCTTGCTCCTCGACTACTCCTCCTGTTCCCATCTTGCCTTCCACACCTGCCCTTTAACTAAGGAGCCGGTGGTGTGCATCCAACGCATAGACATGATGGTGGATAGAGGGGAAAGATATACACGACAAAATACTGAAAACTAAGCTATATAGAGAATGAAGACGCGAAAAGCCCGTTTGAGCCTAACCCAAGAGAATGTAAAAAGCGAGCTTCCTTCATGCGTGATTCAACAAAAGGCTTCCAGATAAGGTGCACCTTAATGAGAACCTCGAATGGAATTGAAAGCTTCACAAAAATGTAAAAAAAACCCCGCGCGTTCGAGATCATTGAAAAAGAAAAAAAATAGTAGGTTGTCTAGTCTTTCCGAGAAGCCCTATTCGAAGAAAAGAGCCCACAGCTGCGAAGCTGATACGATACGCATGCGTCAAAACGTTCCCGCGGAGTCTAGACAAAATTGATGTGGTTCCCTTTCCTTCCCGGCGTGCTCACTTCCGGGCAGCTTGCTGTTCGAGTTCGCTGATGCATGGGGATATTGAGGTTCCCCGAAACTCATCTGAAGGACAGCGTAGCCTATGGAATGGCTCTTCCTTTCTGTATATCGACTGACGTTTTTAAGATAATTAGTGCTGCAGCAGTTCCATATCGCGGGCAGCAACACAACCCCTCTCTAGGCTTTTGATCGCGTTTTGTGGTATCGCGTGCTAGCAGCTGCTTCCTTATTTCACTTTGTTGCTTTGCCGACTTTTCGGTCTGGCGGAAATGGTGATAGCTTCACGTAGATGTTCAGCAGCACAAAGCTTTGCGCTCACTCACCCTCCCACAACGTTTCTAGAACTAGGTAAGTAGCAAAACTCCCCGCGTCAGACGACCTATCACACGGCGCCAAGAGAACTTCCGGTTTGGTGGCGCTGGCGGCGCGTTACGCTTCGGCTAGCAGACGAAAACGGGCAGTCGTCGTGGCAAGACGCTGCGGTGGCCGTTCTGGAAGAGCTTTGCCAACAGTTTATTATCGGGATTTCTTGTTGTGCTGCCACTGAAACTTAATACTGCGTAAAATTTAGCGGTGTAAGGCAAATACAGTTCAATTATGGCTTTCTGAACTGGTCCCGATAAACGGTGCTTAATTATATAACAGTCGAGTCTGTCCGTTAGTTGCTAGTTGGTGTACGTTCGCAAATAATTTTTTGGCGCGAAAAACCCAATTACAATGTCTTTTATCCTCTCTAGTGACTGTGTTTTTCATGCCTTAAAATAGATTACAATTATGTGGTGCAATCCCATGGCTTTTGTCAGGTTCTGTAGTCATCTTTTTTTTTTTCATGTCAGCCACATTCTTTAGCAACTAAGGCCATCGAAAAGCCGCGCGTACGGCGCTTTCCTTAAGCATATCTTCCCACTGCTTCTTCTTTGTTCCTCTAATGAAACTTGTTAGAACAGCTGAAGCCATAGCTTCGAGAAGGAACCGCCCTTTGGGGTTTCAGTGAGCACTTCGTAGTCATTACTCACGAGGCTGCCTGCTGACGCATCGGGACAACACGAAGACACCTTCAGCTTTTCTATGTCCTCCAGAGGTTCGGCGAATCGGGTGATGGTATCTGCATTGCCGGGTGACTTGGCTAAGGAATGATGACGGCTGCTAATGGTGACTGGCATGTCTTCGGCGACGACTACGCATTTCTCCACAAATAGCGCTCTTATTTTCTTCTTTGACCACTAGAAACGTCACAAGAAGTCTTGTCTCCCTATTCTCAACAACTTTCTGCCAGCATGCAAACAAACGTTTTCTATGTCTTGAAGTGAAATTATGACGCCACTCGACTTTTCGTTGGGGGGAGGAAAAAGAAGTTGTCACAGAGAACAGCCTCTGCTTCGAGCTCTGTGAGTTTTCGAATTCTTTTGACTAGACTTTTCATTTATCGACACACCTCGGAGGGGCGTTCCCCCTTAGAATGGGAATCGAAACCCCATCCAGCAACCGGGACCGGGCCAATCACATCAGAGTGCGTCTGACACAAGTTCTCACCCCGGCCCAAGCGTGGTCCACGTTGAGAATTTTGATCACTCTTCCGTTGAAGATATGGCTTCGGACAGCGACTACGTGGTCGTACAAAGCCGACGCCTGAAGAGAAAAATCTGCCGGACATCGCCGACTGGCCGGCAAGCACAGACAGAGGCGAGTAGCATGTGGTCGTACACCATTGCGTGTGTGCCGACATCGAAGACAGACATCTTGATTGATTGATATGTGGGGTTTAACGTCCCAAAACCACTATATGATTATGAGAGACGCCGTAGTGGAGGGCTCCGGAAATTTAGACTACCTGGGGTTCTTTAACGTGCACCCAAATCTGAGCACACGGGCCTACAACATTTCCGCCTCCATCGGAAATGCAGCCGCCGCAGCCGGGATTCGAACCCGCGCCCTGCGGGTCAGCAGCCGAGTACCTTAGCCACTAGACCATCGCGGCGGGGCAAGACAGACATCTTGAACTCTCTAAATAGGCAGAGCCTGTCAGAGTACTTTGAGCTCATCGCTCCAGGGAAAGTCATAGAAATACGCATAAATACTCGGAAGAACATACTGTCCGTTGAGGTCACTATGAAGGCTTTATTGGACTCGCTGGAAGCGATTGTTCGATTACGAAACATTACGGTTCGCGCATTTTCCGCGTATGACGAAGAAACGACAACATTTGTTATATACGATGTGGATGAGGAGATAACAGACTGAAGTTTCGAGAAACTGCTGTCATCGTCGGCTCCCGTGCTTGGTTTCCACCGCTTTGGACGCACGCGATGTGTTAATGTAGTGTTTCAGTCGAAGACGTTACCCACACATGTAAAAGTTGGGTACGTGAGGCACTCGGTACGTCCTTACGTACCAAAACCTCTGCAATGTCATAAGTGCATAAAATTTGGGCACGTTAGTGCAGTTTGCAAGGGTGCAGTAACCTGCAAGCATTGTGGTGGCCTTCATGATGGTGATAACTGCAGTGCTGTGGCCAAATTCCCAAACTGCTCAGGTGCCCACGACGCAACATCAAAGGAATGTCCCAAAATGAGGAATAAAATTAGTATACTGAAGAAGATGGTTCGAGACCACTCCACTCACAGAGAAGCTGCAAGGGCTGTACGGCGCCGTAAACATCGTTCACGACACCGACGCAAACGAAGCAGCAGTGCTCATAGCTTATCGAATTCGACACACGAAACCGTGCCCTCACCACCTACTAGCCTACTTTTGTCGGCCAGAAAGGAGGATAAAGATGCTCAAATGCCAATACAGTCCACGCAAGTGCAATGTAACCAGCCATTGGCTCTCCCCACGTCGGAGACTCAGTGGCCTTCACTACCGTCAAGAGCTACGATAGCGCTATCAACACATAGTGCCCCTGCCCCCAATGAAGAAAGCAAGATGGACAACGCAGATGTCAAGGCTATGCTTAAAAATTGGATGAGTTGAATGCATAAGATTCTCAGCAGCCTAAACACTCCCGCTGCTAAGGCGGCTGTGTAGCTACTTGAGGTTTTGGAGCATCTTCTACTGGTTTTTCAGTAAGTGAACATGGCACTGATGTTTGAAGAACACATGCGTCAGTCGCTTGTTAGGCAATGGAATGCTCGCGACCTACGCGGCCGTCTGTCAGACTTCAGACAATGGGTTTTTAAATATCAATTTCCTGTTATCGTTATATGTGATCCGAATATGGTTTCAGCTTTTCGTATATCTGGATATATCCAGATTTGGTCCCGCAGTGATCAACGTACGAGCAAAGTACTCGTTTGTATACGCCGTGATTTGACGTTCTTGAGACATGAAGTCGCGTCGCATACCGGCAATGATTACGTGAGCCTGACGATAACACATAAAAAGCGGACATTCTCAGTAATAGGAGGATACATGCACCCAAGCGCACAGATGGACTGCTTCCACCTGGGGACCATTCTCCAAGCAGCACAAAGGCCACAAATTGTGATCGGCGATTTTAATGCACATCATCCTCTCTGTGGTAGCACTACAACGAATTATCGCGGAAGGAATTTGGTCAATTTTATATGCAACTATGGACTAAGCGTACTCAACGACGGATCACCTACATTTGTTCGTGGCACGTCCTACAGCAGCTGCCTCGACCTCTGTTTCGTTTCCAGAAGCCTTCTGTCTTCCGCATGTTGGTTCACAGATTTGGACACTCGCGGCAGTGACCACCTTCCAACCTGTTAGTTGGGAGGCGGCCACGCCGCTCCAGCAGTAAACGTGACAGTCGGACCATGCCAACAGAAAAGAACAGCCAGTTTTATTCACACTCGTGAATATATATAGGAAAGTAAGGGGGAGAGGGAAGGGGGATAAGATTGTGCACATGCGCACTTGAGAGCTTTGGTCGCGTCGTTCAATGGGTTACAGCATTTCTTCCCCCTTAGTAGCCAAAACGCACGACCGGTTTCTTGGCTCGTGTGGAGCGACGTAGTACGTATGGTTGCGATTCTGGGGTACTCTGAGAGGTAGCCGGCGCCGTTGTTTCTAGTCGTACCGGCCCTGGGGAAACCGGTGTAGATGGCCTCGACATGTCGTCGGCTGCTGGCGTTTCATCTGGGCTCCGCTTGCGAACTTGATCCACGTGGCGGCGGACAAGGCCATCCACAGTCTTTACCTCCAGGAGGCGAGTGCCACGCGTAGCCTCCACTGTGCCTGGGAACCACTTGTCTCCGGCGCCGTAATTTCGCACGTACACGTAGTCTCCCGGTGCGAAATTCCAGCCTGGGTCACTCGCAGCTTTGGCAGGATAGACTCTGGAAGGAAAAGACATCTCCATTCTTGTGCGCAGACGGTATCCTAATAGCCTCTCTGAGGGAGAAGGACCCTCCTGGTGTGGTGCGTTCCGATAATTGCACAATACACGTGCCAGTGAGGTGAGGAGGCAAGTGCCGCCTATCTTCTTCAAGCCATCTTTGATAGTGCGCACGGCTCGCTCTGCTAGTCCATTACTCTGGGGGTGATAGGGAGGTGTTCGAATATGCGCAATGCCATTGCGCTCCTTGAACTGCTCGAACTCTCGTGCCGTGAATGGCGTCCCGTTGTCAGAAACCACCGTGCGCGGTATACCAAAACGGCTAAATATCGTTCTGAGGGCCTCGACTGTGCTATGCGAGTTGGCCTGCGACACGGGAAGCGCCTCAATCCACTTGGTGTGCGCGTCGACAGCGATGAGTAACATTTTCCCTTTTACTGGTCCCGCATAGTCCACATGTAACCGCGACCACCTTTCGTGCGTCTCGGGCCAATTTACTGGTTCTTTTGCCTGAGCCATCGGCAACGCTTGCACACAGTTTTGGCATGTCGCCGCAACGCGCTCGATGTCTTGCTCTACGCCGGGCCACCAAAATAACGATCTGGCCTTCGCCTTCATGGTGGAAATTCCTTGGTGGGCTTCATGCAGTAGCCTTAGCAACTTCCCGCGTGCTGCTGTCGGCACTACAAAGCGATGGCCCCAGTAAAGAAGTTCTTCACTAACAGACAGCTCATGCCGCCTTTTGTAAAAATCGGCGATTTCTGTAGTTTCCGTGTCGAGTTTTTTTCGGCCAACCTTCCCGGGTATACTTGCGTACCTGGAAAAGTACCTCATCCGCGACGGCGAGTGCCTGGAGTTCCTTCCATGGCAGGGCCGGCTGATCCCACTGGTCCAGGGTCAGAACTTGAGCTTCGTCCTCCTGGTCCACTTCTTCCTGCAACGGTTGGGGTATACGGCTAAGAGCATCAGCATTGCACATGAGTTTACCCGGTCGATGTTGCAACCGATAACGGTAGGCACCAAGTATGATGGCCCAACGCTGAATGCGCGCAGCGGCCATAGCCGGCGTCTGACGATCCGCTCTTAGGAGACCCAACAGTGGTTGATGGTCGGTTAGAAGCGTGAACTGTCTGCCCAGCAGATAATCTCGGAATCGCGTGACGCCATAAACCAGAGCCAACGCCTCACGTTCAATCTGTGCATAATTCTTTTCTGCGGCAGTAAGCGTCCTGGATCGAAATCCAAGGGGCTGATACTGTCCTTCAATTCGGTGGAATAGTGCCGCTCCCACACCGAAGGGTGACGCGTCGCACTCCAGAAATAGCTCTCGTGCGGGATCGAAGTGAGTTAACACAGGCGCGGAACACAAAACGGCTTTTGCTTTTCGGAAGGCATCGTTTTCGCGCTCATCCGAAGACCATTTCGATTTCTTTTCCAGAAGAAGGTATAGGGGACTCAGGAGCGTGGACAGATTAGGCAAGAATTTATTGTAGAAAGTTAGCATGCCCAAAAAAGACCGCAATTCCGTGACATTGTGAGGAGTCGGTGCCAGCTTAATTGCTTCGATGTTCTTGTCTGACGGGTGCAACCCTGCCGCGTCAATTCTGTGTCCTTGATACGTAACTGACTCCTCACCTATTCGGCACTTGTCCGCGCGGAGCTTCACGCCGTACTCCCTGAACCGCTGCAAGACTGCTTGCAGGTTCGCAGTTGGCTTATCGTTCGCATCTGCTATCAGAACGTCGTCTAAGTACGCTTGAACCCCTGGGAGGCCTTGCAGCACCTGCTCAATTGTTCGTTGAAAAATCGCAGGGGCCGAGGCTATCCCAAACGGTAGCCTGTTATAACAAAAGAGGTCCT